TCTACCAATTAAGTTTCACTGATTAAAGTCTTAGTGTCTTCAGAATAAAATTTAACTTCTGGCCATTCTTCTATTTCAAATAAAGCATTTAATAAAGATCAATATTCTTTAAGATATCAAGTTTCTCTTCTATTAAATCTTTAGAATCACACAGCTCTACGATTGTTACAGAGAAATAATCTTATCCTACTGTTTTTAAAAATAAATCAAATTTATTAGAATCTTTAGACGTAACATGATAATGATATTTTAATAATACACTAAATCTTTAAAGATCCATAATAACAAAATTTATTATTTAATAAACAAGTAATTTGTAAATATCTTATTACCCATCCATTTCTTTCTAAATTTATTATGATTTTTAGAATAATGAATGACAGTAGTCAATGCTATATGTCTTGTTTAATCTTAAATCCAGCCTTTCATAAACTGATTTTGCTAATAAACAAAAGAACTATTAACTACCATAAACAATTGATTTCAATTCTGTTATTAAATAAAATTAAACTGATTAAACAAACAAGAATTAACAATTATTGGAAATTAAATTAAATTATAATTTTAGGTAAATAGATCATATTATCATATTATTAAATATGTAAGACGTGTGATCGTTGAGGTTTTTATAAATTAATTACCTGCTGATTATTCTTACTCATTAATTATTACCTTCTAGGTACAATAAGTTTATGAATTTTTCAGCATACAGTCTTATTTTCAACCTTAATACAAAGGAAGCCACTTGCTCAATGGTTGTAGCAGACCATAATATCCTACTCTATTAGGACCTAATCGTCTTTGCATAGATCCCATAGCTTTTCGCTCAGCAATAGTCATAAAAGCTACAGATAATAATAATGGTACAATAACAATAAGTACCTCAATTAGTGATAATAACATGAGTTAATTATAATAATTTATAATCATAATATAATTTTAATTCTAGTAAAAAGAATATAAATAATATTGATTATTAATTCTATCGTCATCAAGCTATTTAGCTTAGTTAATTTATTAAATTGGTTATTAATTTAGATCTAAATTAGTATCTAAACTTACCATTAAAAAAATTGTGATTTCAATTAGTTAAGTATATTATAATAATTAATTAATTCGTTTAGTTGGTTTTAGTGACAAGATAATAGGTCCAACCATTGCTAATAATAAAATCATACTCGCAATAATTAAGAATAATGCATGAGAAGTATATAATACTTGACCAATACTGTTAATTTGGTCAAGAGATACAAAAACATTATCCCAGTTAGAATAATTAACAAATAATGTTTCTAATTTATCTGATTTAAATGATAATAAATTAATTGAATCAAAAATAGATGGTAAATCCATTTTAGTTGTATTTGAATTTGTTACACCTAAACCACTTACAAATAAAGTACCTAATACAAAAGCTAATGGATATGTATTCGAATTACTACTATTTTCTGTTGAATCTTGTAGTTCTACTAATTTAATATTAAGCATCATTACAACGAAAAGGAATAAAATAGCAATTGCTCCTACATAAATAATTAAATATGTAAGCTTCTCTCGTTTATTTAATTAATAAGTATATCATAAAGATATATTAATTAGATTAAAGTATATTAATCGATTATTTTGAGTCCACTCAAAGTTTTCATTTAAACTCTATATTTTGACAAGAGGGGGTATTCTAATATAGAATACCCGAATTGTATAAGTTATTTGATTAAAGGTTTAGAATAATAATAATGATTAATGTATAATTTTCCACTATCTACTGTATTATAAAATGCATTTCTATTTAGATTCATATAGCTTAAACATTTACTTACTGATAAAAATGGAGTATTATTAATTAAGTTTAAATCAACATCATATACCCATACCTTTTTACTTCTTGATTGATTAGCAGCTAATGGAACTTTATTCTTCTTAGCAAGACTTAATTTTAATTTATGACCATCTGTTATAATTCTGCCTTTCAATTTAATAGAAATCTTAGATTTAGTTTCTTCAGATAATGTTCTACCTGCTTGATGTAGACTAATTAATTCTTTAGTTATATCAGTATGATTAAAACTTTTTGATTTATCCGAAGGTCTTATATTATATCCGTTTGGCATCATAGTATTATATAAATCAATATAATATTGTTCTCGAAGAAATAAATCATCATTGGACACTTTATCAGTAGAACCTAATACTTCTAAAATTACTAAGCTAAAATTATTATGTCCATATTTTAAGATAGATCTATTAATTAGATTATTTAAATTTAATAGTCTACTTAAATAGAAATAAGAACTTAATCTTCTAGTTAAATTAGAGGCTGAACCTACATAAGATTTACCATTAATATTATTATACCAATAATAAATACCAGTTAAGTCTTTATTATCTAATAAAATATTAGACACTTCTAATTCACTATTATGATAGACTTTAACATAAGTACTTTTCATATTAGTTAAATTTAGCGGATTTTTATGATCAATCTGTTCAGAATTAATAGGATGAATAGTTGTTAAATTCTCTAACTCAAAATCCATACCTAAATCAATTAAAATCTTTCTTACTAAAGAGTTTTTTAATAATAAGTCTAATGAAGTCATAGATGATTTCTTAAGTACTACTACAATAATTAATTTGGCTAATACTTGACAAGTAGAACTTTGAATCTTAGGATATAAGGTCAGTAAATATGATTTAATTAAAGGTGATAATACCTTCAATTGAGATAGTTTATCCATAGATACTTCTGTACCTTTTTTTGAATGATAAGTAATTACATTAAGTAGTAAATTGTTTAATACAGTTAATAACATTTTAAATTTAAATTAATAGGTTAAGATTACAACTATAAGACAGGAAGTATGATCTCATAGAAGAATATAAATTCTTACTTAGTAATTAAACTAATAAACAAGATAAATTTATATTACTTATATAATTAAACATGTTTAATCAACTTAGACTTATTAAAGAGTTTAACTTAATAATCGATTAATATAGAGAATGGACTATGTCTTCATGTTTATAATTTTGTAAAACATGTATCACGTGTAGTCTCTGAAGTAATTCATTATACAATTACTTACTAATTGTCTTAATTAGATAATTATTACCTTATAGGTATATCTAATTATAAAGATATTTTAGTATTTAGTGATATTATAGATATTATAGAATATCTTTTGGCCTTTAACCAATAAAATTGATACCAAATAAAATTAAATAACAAGCTACATTAACAAAAACAGCAATTAGAAATAATACAGAAATAATAGGATTCCGTGATGTAATTACTAAAATACCCGATAATACGGAACCAAAAGCCAATAAATCTAATAGAATTGCGTTCATGTAAGCTAAAATAATCCCTATTAACTAGGGTAAATTAAGAACCAATTTAATCTAACATTTCAAATCAAAGATTAAGATATTAACTCTTCTGATACTTAAATATTATCTTTTTGAATTTTGATTAGCTTTGCAAAAAGTATTTAAATATCTTTTATAATCAATTTACTTGCTTATTAGAATTTACCAGACCAAAAGCTTGAACTAATAATATAATTAATTTAAAATTAAGAACATAATACTTTGCTTGATAAATTTCAGAGGTTAAGACTAATTGATTTTGATTCTTAATTTCACTTATTAAGAAATAAATTTTAAGAGACATTTAAAATATGTCTTTCGAGACAAGATTTAACAAAATCAAGAAAATTACTATTACTAAGTGATGTTAAAATGATTAATCTCTTTTAATTCAAAATATTTTGAACAAATTAAGAAACTAATTTCTATAGCCGTTAAGAGGAATCGAACCTCTATTCATAAATTAACAGTTTACCGTTCTACCATTGAACTATAACAGCATAATTATATTAGTCAAGATTAAAAACAAACTTATCCTAAGTTTAAACCTTATACCTTAACCTATGTTTAAGATTAGTTTAAACTGTCTTGAAGTCTTAGATACAAAAACTAAGAAGAAACTTTCTTGCAAGGACTTTGATTTTTGGTTTTCTCCAAACTTACTTTAACTTATACAAGTAAGATATCAATTATAATTGATATTAAAAATATTAATATTATTGAATTTAAAATTTATTAAATGAATTAGCTGACTTACTTTTATTAAATTAATTTACTTAATATATCTTACTTTTATTGAATTAATTTACCTAATATTATGTGATTAATTTATTTAATTAAAATAATTATTATCTAAGATTTAATTAAGTGTTTAATTTATTTTAAACTTATCATAATCTTTAATTAAATCAGTAAATCATTGATAAAATTTATTTTTTATTATTTATAATTTTTATTTATCATATAAGTAACAGTTCAACAGGGGTTATCCCTTAAATGGTAGAGGACTCGTTTTGCATACGAGTAGTCCGAGTTCGAGTCTCGGTAACTCCAAACTACAAAGTCGATTAAATTAAAGCTAATTTAATATGAATAGTGTTAGTTTGTATTTACTGTTTATCTCAAATTTACTTTTAAATAATGACTGAACTATTTATTAGTAATAATATAATTTCAAGAAAATTACTACTGATACTTAAAACCAAGATAATATTAAAGTAATAAATAAAAACAGAATAGAAATAATTTATCGAATAATTTATTAGCTAAAAAATTTATTGAAATAACTACTTTTAAAATCAGGTTGTAGCCTAATCTGGTAAGGCATTTACTTTGGGTGTAAAATAGTGTAAGTTCAAATCTTACCAACCTGATAAAGATACATAATGTATAATCCAACAGTTAAAGGACTTAAAATCATTAAATGAACTAATTTATATAAATTTGAAAATTAAAGTAAATAATAACTTCAAATCGAGTTAAATAATAAACTAAGAATCAAAAAATATATCTTAAAGAATAGATAAAATAATATCAATGAATTAAAATTAAGAAATAAATTCATTAATTAAATTAATAGATTTATTATTAATAAGTCTTGTTATTTTAATATTTTTTCTAATAATATTAATTACTCACCCCAGGTTTTGATCCTGGATTTGGGTATTAGAAGTACCCTGTTCTACCAATTGAACTAGGTAAGCTATACATTTCTTATATAATAAAGGTAAAGGAAATATAATAAATATTAAACGAATTAGATAATTTAATATTTTTAATGTAAAAATTCACTTAATAACTAATGGTAATAAAATTTAAAAGAATAATTAATTTAAATAAATAATAACTAATTAATGGTAAATTTTATTAAAATAAGGTATGTAAGAATTAATAAACTTGGTGACTATAATATTGCTAGAGTTATTTTATTCTATAATTTATATTTATTTATCACATCTATTTCTTCTTAAATTATCTTTAAATATTTAGATCTATACAAGATAAATTATTTTTAATTATATTATATAAGAAACATATCATGACGATTGTGATGGAACTGGTAGACATGATTGATTTAGGTTCAGTTGGTTTTTTAATCGTGCAGGTTCAAGTCCTGCCAATCGTATATAAATTACTTTAAATAATATTTATAATTAAGAATTTGAGGATAAAATAATCTATGAATCAAATTTTTATTATATTTTAATGTGATATCTTAGTCCCGCTATTCAGCTGATAATAATATCTTGCAGGTTTAAATCTACCAATCATACAAAAGAAGTAAAATAAGCCAAGGATAAATAGAATAAGGACATTATAAAATAATTAACTATTTAAAAACTTAAGTTTTTTTAATAAGTTCAGAACAAGCTTTTAATCTTGGTCTAAGCTTCACCAAATTAATTTACAATTTGTTTCAAGGGGCAGTAGCTTAATTGGTAGAGTACTTACTTGTCACGTAAGAAGGTATGGGTTCGAGTCCCACCTGCCTCGTAGTATCTAAAATAACAATATATAAATGCATATCACAAGAGATGTTATATATTAAGAAAAAGGAACTCTTCTTCATAGAATAAAAATAAACTTCAAATGAGATGTATACATTTATAATAAATAAAAATAATATTTATTATAATAGTAACTGTATAATTAACTGAAAACCCAGTAAATAAAAAGTTTACTTAATTAATAATCTTTTTAATTAAGTCTTTGAGATTTATATTATAAAGGTTATATAACATTAATATATGGATCACTTTAATGTTAGTTTAAAGGTTTACTTTGAAACATTTATTAAATTGCTTGTCTTGATAACATAAGAATGATAACTGAAATCAGCAAATCTAAAATAGCTAAATAGAAAATTAAGGATATAGATAATTTCTTAAGGAAATCTAAAATAGCTAAAATAAAATTAAGGAATAGCTAGTTATACTTTATTCTATATAATTTTCTAGGTAAAACTTGATTGTTCTTAATTTAAGTAAATTTAAAAGGGTTTAATAGTTAAAAGATTAGCCACCACCCGCTGGTTCTAATCATTAGTAAGAGTAATTCTTCTTACTACTTATAGGGTATAGATAAATTCTAAAGGATTTATAAAAACTCAAAAATAAAGTAAAATAAGATAATTTTAGTAAATTATAAAAAGTTTGTAAAACAAGCAGGTGGAATCTTTCAAATAGGGATATAGAAATAAATTAGAATCATAAGAAATTATAGGAAATTATAATAATAAAGAAAATATAAGATAATTTAATTCTATTAATAAAGGAATTTTCTTTCATAAGTTGAAAAATAAAGGATAAAAAGAATTCAATAAAGTATAATTTAGTTTAATTTTGTTTTAATTTATATTTAATCTTAAAGTACATTGATCTTGTTGAATTTATTAATGAATAGAGTGGGACTTGAACCCACAAGGATTGTTACATCCATAGTTTAGCAAACTACTTCCTTACCGATTCGGTCATCTATTCTATAAAATGAACAATAAAAGGAAATATAAAATAGTTATTAGGAATTTAAATATATTAGAAACAAAATATCCATTAAAAATTATTAATCAATTATCTATATTTTATATAAAATCTTAGGGAATAGTAAAATCGAACTACTGCTAGTTATGTCTAAGATGATCACTCCACTATTTCTCAGAGAAGTTAATAGATAATTGTCTTTATAATATACTAAATACTAATTAAATTTAGGGAATAGTAGAATCGAACTACCGACTTTTAATTTGTAAGATTAACACTCTAACCACTGAGTTAATTCCCTGTTCTTAAAGAATTAATTAAACATATATGACAATTTGTTACTTATATGTCATTACTATTAGCTTCCCACTGATGATACTAATAAGACTCATTATGGAAAGTTAATAATTAAATTTAAAAGAAATATTACTATTCTTTAAGTGAAAGTGAATTTAAATCACATTTATGATGTATCTTTAACATCACTATAATATTTAGTTAATTTATTTTTACTTAAAAATTGAAGTTATTTTAAAAATAGTATATTTATCAATATGTCTTCGAATAGATTTAGTATCGATAATTTAAAATATTTGAAACAATAATTAAATTATCAAATCTTAATGCTAACCTGTTGTAAGATAAATAGACCTTACTATTTTAAGAGTTTCCATTAATTTTAATTTAGTCTTTGTAACTAGATTATATACCGAATAAATTTACCTAATTCAGTATTATTAGTTATCTAAATTATAATAATCAGAAATATATCTAGTATTTTCCTAGTACTATAATCAAATTTAATAAATCTAGTGTTTTAAATACAGACATAACATTATTAAATATGTATTTAATATTTTATTAAAGTCTAATGTATGGATATTCTTCTTTAAATAATTAATATCATAGTCGATTAAAGAATATTATCTAACATTTCGATATACAATGAGAATTATCAATAGTTTTGTTAGGAGTTTAATCAATATGTCTAATTCTAAAATAAAATTTTTCAAATTTAATGACTTATTAAAATACTTATAAATTAAGAGTCTAGAAACTCCTAATCCATCAGTTGTTCTTTAAATAGAAAAAATGAGTAATTATTATATTATTGACTTTCTAACCGTACTTTACCATTAAAGCTTGTGGATTTTTAATATTGTATGATTAATCTAATGAAGAAGAATCTTAAGATGTAAATACTACATTTTTTTTAATAAATTAAGTTGAGGTGAGAATTAATAATTAATGATTGTTCTAGAGCCTAGTCTTTAAGTGAGTTAAATGAGAGAAAATAATCATTTCACCAGCAGATAAATTATATATAGGATATTTTGATTTGAATCTTATTAAATAATCAGTAGCTTCACATACTGTTCCGTATTAAAATTTGTCCCGTCATCTTTAATACAACTTAGAAAATTTAGCAAATAGATATCTTATAGCCCATCAATAAACTTTCATTCATCCTAAAAAATTATAAGCAAAGCCAATGTATTTATTACCAATTAAAATATGAACAACAAATAAACTCCTACAGATTTAAAGGTATTAGGTTTAAAAAAATTTAATTCCAAATCAAATACCGATTTAATGTTAAACTTTAGTTATCATTAGAATTAATATATCCTGTAACTTTAACGGATCTATTAATTACTTCACCAATAAATTTTTAACTAAACTATTTCAGGTAAATTTAAATATATAGTTTCTGGCTAAATGTAATGCCTTTTAATATGTTTAATAGATATTAGCTCAATATATAAATAATCTTGAATAGTAAAATATTAGTAAGGTGGAAATATTAAATTATGCAGTTATTTTTATATTAAATTCATCATTTTTATCTTATGATAGTAAATTATCTCTTTTTAATACTTACTTATTGTTTATAAAGGACAATAGTGAAATATCTAATAAAGTCGGATCAATAGTTATATTATAACCATTCTAAATTAATTTAATTACATTGAAATAATTTAGCGACATTTAAATTATTCCTCATTATTAAGATTAATATTATAATATTCATTTTACTACCTTTATAATAAAATAAATCAGAATTAATCCTTAATATTGTTTTAATTATTTATTTTGAAAGGAATTAAACTAATCCTTTAAGTCTAAAATTAATTAGTTGTATATTAATTTTAACTTTTTATTTAATAAATCTTGATGTTATTTATAATGTTTATGTAAGGGTGAAAACCCGGGATCGAACCGGGAACCGTTAGTACCACAAACTAACGCTCTACCAATTGAGCTATTTCCACCGTTTAACTAATTCTACTTTATTTATTACTTAATATCTAAGCAGCAATAATTGTGGTGACTGAACAATAGTTTTTATTTCTTAATATCTTTAAGCGTTTCAGAGGAGTTGAACCTCTACCAACAAGAGCCGAAATCCTGTGCTCTACCAATTAAGCTAGAAACGCAAATTCTATTTACTTATAGTAAATAATAGATACTAAATATCTATTATAAATTAAGAATTATTTAAATTCTAAATATTAAACAATTGTTTAATATTAATGTTTATAATATAACTTAGCTATTTTTGATAAATCTAAATACATAATTTCTGCCAAATGCATAGCTTTATCAATTGGTTTAATGTAGACTAAATTAGTATACAAATAAGTTTTAATCTTAATTGTTTTTAAGAATGTAGAGAATTTAAGTAAATAAAAATTTTATGTTCATAATATGTTATATAGGGCCAAGTTAAGATTCCTTTACGACTATTTAATCTATAAGTTAGTTATAACAGATAAATCATCTATTAATTTGCTAGATTAACATCAAGTTTATTTGTTGTTTTAAATTTTATTAGAGTTTGGTGATAAGATTTTAATTATTTTTATAATAAAAGAAAGCAAGTGTAGCATAATTGGTTAATGCGATTACCTTCCAAGTAATTGATTGCGAGTTCGAGTCTCGCCACTTGCATGTTTGTTATTATATTTTATATTGGATAATTAATGGTTATATTAGTTAATATAATTTATATAGGTTTTATTATCATATCAGTGGTAATTACTAGAAATAAATAATCGTTAGAGTCATAGAATAATTTTAATAATAAAGAACATTTTTAGATCGTGAAATAACAATTGTTAAAATCATAAGTAAAAGTAAAAGTTAAATACTGAAGAATTAGTAATAAAAATTTAACTAATTTCCCACTCATATTAAATATAAATGGGTAGGGTATTAAAAAGAGATAAACTACTATTTCAATAATCAATTATTGACGTTTTTATTCTTGAATCGGGAATAAAAAATGTATAATAGGAATATACATATATATAATATGACAACAAAATTAATGAACAGATCTATTCAGGCACATCCATTTCATTTAGTTGAAGCTTCGCCTTGGCCAATTGCAGTATCATTTTCTTTATTAGTTACAACTTTATCAGGAGTAATGACATTCCATGGATACTCTAATGGTTTATTCTTATTAACTCTTGGATTAATTGCTACAATTTCAACTATGACATTATGGTTTAAAGATATTTCTCGAGAAGGTACTTTCCAAGGACATCATACTTTTGCAGTACAAAAAGGATTAAGCTGCGGTTTTGTTTTATTCGTAATTTCAGAAGTATTCTTTTTCATTAGTATTTTCTGGGCTTTCTTCCATTCATCTTTATCTCCAACTGTTGAACTAGGAGCTCATTGGCCACCAGCAGGAATTGAAGCATTAAATCCTTAATCCCAGGGACTCATTTAAATATTAATGAGACACATAAGGCTATATGCTAAAACACCCTAAAGCTTTGAGTACCTTAAAGGTTACAATTTTAAAGATATAACAATGGGTTATCAGCAGGAAATAATTGTAAAATTATTATTCTCAGAGACTATATGCCTTACATACAATACTTGTATAAAGAGATAGTCCAATACTCATAACATTGTGATTTTATAAAATCACTTCAGATAAAGCATTTTTTACTACTTTAATTGTAAATTATAGAATAGCTGGTAAATTACCAGCGGGTGAACCTTTACCACCTAAATTATTTGAAATCACAGTAAGTTTAATTTTAGGAGACGTTCATATTTCTAGAAATAAAACTGAAAATGCTAGTTTATATATAGAACAATCTATTGATAAAAAAGAATATTTAATTCATTTATATGGATTATTTAAAGAATATTGTAAATCTGTACCTGTAATTAGAAACAGAACTAATAAAAAGACGAACAAAACTAGTACTTCTATTAGATTTACTATTAGACGATTATCTTGTTTTACTCAACTTCATGAATTATTTTATGTTAATAAGGTTAAAATTGTGCCTATTAATATTGAAGAAATTTTAACTCCAACAAGTTTAGCTTATTGGGCAATGGATGATGGTAGTAAGCGAGGTAAAGAATTTCATCTAAATACTTATAATTATACATTAGAACAAGTAGAAGTTTATCTAAAGTATTATCAAATAAATTTAATCTAAAAAATACTATTCAATCACATAAGAATGGATATAGTATTTTATTAAAACAGAATCAATGGATCAATTTAGATCATTAGTATATTCTAATTTTCATCTTTTTATGCTGTATAAATTAGATTAAATTTGTTATCAACAATATTAATTAAGAAATTAATTGAGTTTGTGGGAGGTTCCATTATTAAATACAGTAATTTTACTATCTTCAGGTGCAACTGTAACTTATGCTCATCATAGCTTAATTCAAGGTAACCGAGCAGGAGTAATCTACGGATTAATTGCTACTGTTGTTTTAGCAGCAGTATTCACAGGTTTCCAAGGGTTTGAGTACTACAACGCTCCATTCACATTTAGCGATGGTGTTTATGGTTCAACATTCTATATGGCTACAGGATTTCACGGAATCCACGTTGTAATTGGTACAATTTTCTTAACTGTTGGTTTATTCCGAGTTTTATCTTACCACTTAACTGACCACCATCACCTAGGATTCGAACAAGCTATTCTTTACTGGCACTTTGTCGATGTAGTATGGCTATTCTTATTTATTAGCGTTTACTGGTGGGGTGGATAATGAACCACTACTTGTAATCTATTAAGAATACAATTGATATACAATTACTATAACTATAGATTAATAACACATTTAACTATATTAACACCCTCCCCTCTCCTTTAGATAAAGGTAATATTCAGAATAATAAAATGGGACAAAACATTATCTTAAATGAGTTATATAAGTAAGGATTACATGTTATCAAATAATTAATGTAATCATATCTAAAGGTTAAATGCCGAAAGATTGGCTCGAATATTTAACTCATTTCCCATTTATTGTATTGTTAGATACAAATGACTAGGGTATTAAAAAGAGGTAAACTACTATCTTATGATAGGAATATTTATATTAAATAATGAAATCAATGTTATTATATAAACAAGCCAAATGTAGTTATGTAACTAATAATCAAAAATCTAAGATTAAATTATCTCATCTTCTTGAGATTCTAAAAGCTCAATCTGATTTATTGGTAAGTCTAGATATTAATAAACATATTATTAATGCAATTGATACTGCAGAGAATATGATTAATAGTCTTCCTGATAATAATTTAGTTAAATTATTTATTTTAAGTAAGATTTATGAACCAGTCAATGTTAAAGCATCGATTGATTCCAATAGAATCATTCCTAATGATTTAATCTATTTTGAATCTAATATCATCTCAAATAATATTCCTAAAGAAGCAGGAGTATATGTTTTTACTCATAATGTTACAGGAGAACAATATGTAGGATCAGCTATGAATTTTAAAACGAGACTAGGGAACCATAAAGATCAGTTTATGCAATTGCGAGACCAAACTTATTTACATAAAAAAGTTAATAATAATGGAGGTTTATCTTCTTTAAGTTGGGGTGTAGTATATTCTACTTCCAATCTATTAACTGAATTCATTAATAAAAACCCTCAGTATCTTTTAACTAAAGGTGAAGTAGATATTTTAGTACATTTTACTCACTTAAAGCCTAGAATTTTAGAACAATCCTTAATTACTGAACTTAAACCTGAATTAAATGGTAGCTCTGCTGTTGTATTATATCAATATACTTCTTGGAATCCTAAGAATCTTAATAAAGAGAGAAAGACGGATTTTTTCAGTAAGACTATCGAAATTAAGAATATAAATGAATTATTAATGACTGTTCCTTCTATAAATATTGCGGCTATTACTTTAGGAGTTCATAGAGAACGGATTAGATTATACTTAAATAAGACAGCTGACTTTTTCAGTCCTACTCTTGATACTAAAGTTACAGTTAATGAAGTTGGAGTAACTCCTAAAATGGTTCCAGTTATTCATAGATTACCATCAAAACATTCGATGTTAGAATTGACGGATGTTAAATTAACAGATCTAGAACCATATTTAATTTATGCTTTTAACTTAGATAAAAAAACAGTATTTGGAACTTATAGTTCATTTCAACAAGCGGCTCAAATTCTTAACCCTGTTAAATTTGCTAACGTTTCTGCAAGAGGAAAATCTTTATTTATTTCTAGATATGTAAATCTTGATTATGCAGTAAATACAGAAGCAGGAGAATTCTACTTCGCTAAGAACCCTTTTTTTAATAAAGTAGATGGTTTAAAAAAATCGGTTTATTTAATCGATAATGAGAATAAAGTAGCTACTTTATATAATGGCCATAGAGAATTATCTAGATCATTTGGAATTACTACTGCTAATTTATCTAGACATTTAGATAATGGTACTGTGTATAAAAAGAGATATCAATTTGTTAGTCAATCTAGATTTCAAAGTTTATATCCAGATGCTGTTAATAAAACTGTTTATTTCTTTAATGGGGATGTTCCTTTATTACCCTCTAAATAGGATTACATGTTATCATTGGAACAATCTTCTTAACTGTTGGATTGTTTAGAGTATTATCTTATCATCTAACAGATCACCACCATTTAGGATTTGAGCAAGCAATTTTATACTGGCATTTCGTTGATGTAGTTTGGTTATTCTTATTCATCAGTGTTTACTGGTGGGGAGGATAATAAATTATTAATTTTTATCTATATTTTAGCTTATATAAATTTCCACCCCATTCCTTTATATATAAAGGTTATACGAAGAATTACTTATAAACTCCTTTTCTCCGCTAACTTTAATACACTAATAACCTTTATTATACCTATTTACCGTAGACTAAGTCTCTACATATACTAATTTTCTACAGTAGAATTATACAATAATTATCCTTATTAATTTTGATAAACTTCCGTGTAATAAGAGTTTTCAACCAGTTTTGTACACTTCGTAAGTTGATACGTTTAATGTTATAAAGCTTACCACCAATACAGATTCTAATAAATATTAATGGATTAATATTTATTATTCCATTTTCATTTCTTTCTTGTCTCTTATTTCCTATCCTAATTTTTATTTCTAAAATGATTAAAATCCACAATTTTAGATGGATTAAATCCTAAGTTAACCAATAATTCAGATTCATCAATAGATTCATTTGGAACTGACCCCGAGAATTAGAAGTATTATCATTATTATTAGAAGAGAAGGAAATTATAGAAGGAAATAAAGCTAACTTGAAACTATCAAGAGTATTAGATTCGATGTTACTTGAAATAAACTCTGTGAAAGAATTTAAATCGCAGGGATTCGAAGGGAATAAAAAGATATCGCTAAAGATGTAAAATAAATTTGTCATCTAAAGGAGGATGACTTTTTTAAATATAATAGGGTTTATCTTAATTAGAATTTGGAATAAATTAATAATTTACCACGGAAGTTTACTAAATTGAATTTGAACTGTAATTTACCAGGGGAAGTTTACTAAATTAAAAATATGAAGAAGAAGAATTATGAGAATATGAATTATTAATAATAAGGATTATTAGTGTATTAAAGTTAGCGGAGAAAAGGAGTTTATAAGTTAGTATTAGCGTAT